TAATAGTAAAAATTGACATGTTGCACAAAATTTCTGGAAAACCAGGCTTCGAGTTTCGTGTTACGTGTAATTTTCATATGTTTAGCATAATGGACATTTGATTTCATTGGCTAAATTTTGTGATATTTGCGATTACCCCCTTTCCAAAAGTCACACACAAAATTAATTTCTATTGGTTTAAAAATTGTTACATATTTGCATTTTTTTAACAAAGTAAATATTCTTTTTAATAAAGAACTGTTTGTTTTTTAACAAGGTTTTCTTTGTAATTAACAAAGTGACAGTCTTTCTTTGTTTTTCTAACAAGAATGAATTTTCTTCAGCATATATAACAAAAAATTGTTTATAAAAAGACAATAAATTTGTAAAATTTAACATTGAAAAAAAAAAATAATAAAATAATAATATAAATACAATCATAAACATAATATTTTAAATAATTTAAAATGTCTCCTAAAAATCCTGGTCCATGTGTTATTGAAGGTTGTGGATCCCAGGGTCCATTTAGAAAATTCCAAAAATAATTCTATAATATATAAAACACATGAAACTTATAATTACCTTCAAATTAATGATCAATTATGTCAATCACATTATTTATTAATTGTAGAGCCATATAGAGGAAGAGATGCTGGTAAAAAACGAAGATCAGAAGAACTTGATGTAATCTATATTGTTGAAGATGTGGAATTATTTCATATTTTGGAAGATTCAACTGATGATATTGAAGCAAATTTTGATTATTGGTCAGATATAAAAGTTAAACGTCATGAAGATAATGTGACTTTATCAAATGAAGATTTTGCTCTTCTAGTAAAAAAAATAAAAAAGATGCAAGAAAAATTATGTAGATATGAAAATAAATTAAATGAATTTCATGAGAAAATTAAATTATTATCTAATGTCCTATATCAAAGACAAAGGCAATTAAATTTAGATATTGAGTTAGACCCTGAAAATTTTAAAATATGATTGAACAACATAACCAAAAATTAAAGGGTTTTTTTGATGAATTAGTAAATATTTTTTTACCTTCTAATAGATCCACATATAATATAGAAAATGCCAAAAAATCACTTGTTGGATTTTGTTATTTATTAGCTGGTCTAAGTAATAAATTTAATAATTCCCTCCAATTAGAAATTGGCCTTTATTTATCTTCATGTGGAGCAACCACAGAATGCATTGATGTGATGGCAAGACTTGGTATTTCAGTATCATACAAGACAGTAGAAAGATATAAGAAAAAGATTGCAAGTAGACATCTAGAAAAAATAAATAAGTATTTTGAAGAAAATAAAAATAAATTATTTTGCTTCAATATTGATGATTACCATTCAATTCATAGCTTTAGACAACCAAACACGACAACACTTTCAACAGCTTTTCATATGGCTACTTGTGTTTCTAAAACTGTGAAAGATAGTGTAGCTGTATTGGCAGTTAGTAATGATGTTCCAATACATAATCCTGCAAATATTGAAGATTGGCACA